TCTACTTCAGAAGTAAGAAGAGAACGTTTTGAGAGATCGCGACCCTCATCATGACTGAATCTGGCCTGCAAGAACCCTACCATACAGACTGCAATAACCCTACCATACACGCACAGTGTTACCCGAACTACAGGTTACTAAAAGCTTTCAGGCCAACGCGTGGCCTCCAAAAAAAATTTGGCTGCCCATTTCTTATTTTACGCGAGCAGGGGGCCGGGTCTACTACCGGCCCATAACGTTTTTTTTTTTTTTTGACCCCCATTTTTGGAGGTGCGCCGCATGCAGTGCGCGCGCGTCGTGCGGGATGCGCGGTGCAGCGCATCGCGATGCACCGCAAGTATGATCAGGATGTACATTGCTTGTTGAGATTCCACTAACATCGCATTGTCCATTCAGTCCTTTTTATCACATTGCGGATCCTTGGCTATACATACAGTGCCCAACTGGGCATGTAACAGCATGGCTCTCGCAGGAATGAATGAATGGCTGGACGCTGCCTCTTGATTTATACTTCTGTAAGTCGCTGGTCTGCCGTTTACCACCGGGCCCATGTTGCACACAGTCCCTCATGGTACTTGCTTACTGTGCAAAGTGAGACTGGGATTGGGTACCGCTGACTAAGCGAAGTTGGACTCACCACTTGCCCACTTGCCTCTGGTCTGCTGTGTAAAACGTTAGAAGAAATTTGGAAGGCTACTTCCGGACCTTCCAGAAGTTTGTGGACTTGGCCTTTCAGAACTGTTGCAGCTACGACCTTGACCTTTCAGAACTTCAATAACTATGACCCCTATGGAGGTATGACCCCTACTTCGACAGGTCTAAGGTTCAAGACTCAACAACTACTCAGACCTACGACAGACAACTTTCAACTACTAACACAGGTCACGGGTTCAAGACTCACAGGGTCGACTTGATACTGTACACAGGTAAGGTAAGGTAAGGTGAGGTCTGGGGATCGAGCCCTGGGATCCGCATCTGTGTCTGCAAAAGGTGAAAACCGTTTCACCATGCTTTTCGTTAGGAAAATACTACATAATAGGATGGATGATCTCCTCCTCGTTGACTGGGGTTAGTCGGCCCTCAACGTAGGGGTGTCGATTGGCCCTCAAGAGGACGTCGGCGGTTTAGGGTATGAGTTTTTATTTGGTTCTTTGGTGGAGGTCAATCCTTCCCTGGCGTAGGGAAGTAATCAATGCCTCTGCCCAATGATTACATACAGATTGGATTGTATGTACACATAGACAGCTGCACACATCAGTGTATAGGTGACGCTGGGCCTGACTTCCAGATCACACCCATCATACCCGTTTAGGGATGATAGTAGATAATGGAGGGAGGCTGGGTACATAGGGTTCTCTCTTCTTGCGTCTCATAGTGATTTCATAGCAGATAATGCAGGATAGGGTAGATAAGGCTCTTCCTTCACGGGTCAGATATTGATGAATATATACACATACTACTGCATTGGGAAGCTGGGCCCGATTCCCGGCTGATCTACAACACATTGTTTAGTGGCACTGGACTTGATTGTTCTGATCTCCAGCTCACACACATCATATCAAAAGCAGGGTTTCATATCCTCGTCTGATAGATAGGATTAGGCTTGACGCCTTAGTCCGTGTTTGAGAGATCGTTGATCAGATGGACAGGGTTTTCCCATCATCTGACATATATTGGTTGATGAGCATACAGAGGTAGTATCAGATATCAACACATCTCTGTATAGGGACGCTGGACCCGATTTCCAGCTCATACATTCACATCATTGTACAGGGACGCTGGACCCAATTTCCAGCAGGTGTTGCTCCCCACCAATAGATGAAGCCTTCGGCGCTGGGGCCTACTTACCGGGGATGCTCTTACCACCTCATTAAGTAGGCTTCCTGTATACGAAGTTAAACAAAAAAAAAAAAAAGGAAAAAAACTTAAAAAAAGAGATATAAGAGCCCTGCAGATTCTCTGCTGGGGGGCCTTCAGAATAAAAGCTACACGCAATGAGGAATACGGGGCCCTATTTTTTTTTCTCTGCCCTTAAAATCTGTAGGAGGGAGGGACATATCTGGCTACCTCAGCCACCCCCAATACCCCTATACACCTCCTCAACACCTCCAAATCGCCCCCCAACACCCTCATTACCCCCCCCAATACCCCATACAACCCTCCCCAGACCCTCCCCTACCTCCCCGCATCCCCAAAAGCTTCTCATCGGATTTGGGCTGTACTTAGCAAGCGCAGTGCAGCCCCTAACTCAGATTTGAAAAAAAATATGTGGATGGCTGTTTTCTGACTGGTCGGCAGACCGCCAACCGGTAGGCCCTACTGGTGGGCTGCAAAACGGTCAGCGGTCGGGGTTGGCGGTCAGCAGGCATGCAACCCTGCCATACGCCCTGTTAAACCACCACTACCTTTCGTAGTGTCGGGAAAAGTAGGAATATAACCTATACCGCATTCTTTGGGGACTGGGCCACCGTTGATAAACTTCATCGGTGGCCTACTTTTTGTTTCCCACCTCCGAAACTCGCGTGTACTGGCCCACGCCCAATGTAGGGGAAAGATAGGGGTGGTTTAAGGTTAAGGCTTCCAATGTCTAATTGCACATGCTGGGCTGCCTGTCAAATCACTGGCTACATACATAAGAAGGAACAGTGACCCAAACAGCTCGGACCTCTGGATGGTATGCTAGGACCAAGAAGAACGTATAATAGACTGTTTAATTAATCAAGTGTAAAGAAGCAACAGAACACTGCTAGAGCTTCGGACCCTGGACAACCTCTTCTCTTCCGCTCTCGCTGAACAACCTGTCCTCCTGTGGAATAACGTCCGATGACAGTTTGGTGAAACCGAAGACGCGTGGTTTGGACCGATTTGCAAAAGCAACACCGTGGACCATATGAAAGGAAAGATGCATCAGGATGCTGGGCAACACCAAGAATACACGCAACCACATGAGGAACTCTGGGCTGCTACCAAGAGCATGATTGAGGCAGACATTCTATGTCGATGGCGAAGACTCAAAGCTGCACTTCAAAGCAACCCTGATACTGAACAGTTACAGTTGACAAACTTCAAGAGAGTCTGGTTAGCCAGAGGCAAGGTGGCGGACAGCAATGACATAAGGCTGAGGTGGAGGGACTGGCATAACTTGGATACCCCACAAGGGAGGCTGAACACTCAAATGGAGAGATCTAAGAGTCCCATATGGTTGCCATGGTCAGAAGCATAGCCAACAACAATGGATGAGGGTGGTCACGCCAATTTCAGGCATACACCGATGTGGAATGGTGGCAGATTTCTTCTGATTCTTGTCCTCGAAGTGCAAAACGGGCAGGTTCGGCGATAGAACCTGAGAGGATCTCATGAGAGAGGCAAGCTGACAATTAATCCTCCTGAACAGAAGGAAATGTGAGGGCATATATGGTGTATATTAATGACTTGCTAGGGGAAAAGCAACTGGACTGACACTTTCCAGAATGGATATGGAGCCAGGACCCATAAGAAACTGTTATTGGGACAAAAAGAAAGGGTTGGGGAATCAGGGTGCGTGCTTATTCCACTGAGGTGCTTGAACTTTCCCCCCTGTGATTGCGTGAAAAATATGGTGATACAGCTCTGTGATTGCGTGAAAAATCTGGTGATACAGCAAAATGCCCACATCCAAATAGGATGGTGCTGGTGGCGTTTCATAAGTGTGAAACAATAGGTATACGGCAGGGATTGTTGGACCAAATTGCTCCGGAGTCCGAACTGAATTTGGGGATCCATAGTGCAAGCAGACCTCAGTTCGAGATTGCAGTTGCGAGGGATTGCCTGTGTGGATTATGTGCCCCTCAAGGCTGAGAAAGAGAGGGACTGGTTTGCCTGCAACTATGACTGGAAATTGAGCAATAGATTTGAGGAGACAATGGCAAGTCGCTCAGTTTTTTCTGCCTTTTGCCATTGCTGTGACATGACTTGCAGGAATGCGGAAACCATCATGGAACAAGGCTCATGTAACACAGCAGTTGCTCTCTCTGAAGACAATTCTCCCTCTGACAACGGACTCTAAACAGGAGAAGGAGAAAGATTTGGAGAAGGAGGGAGGTGCAAAGTGCAACACTGCTATGAGTAAGACCAAGAATAGCATGCCTCTTCCTCCAATGTTGTTTGGCAACACGATCAAACGAAGGGCAGTGCTTGCATCGAATCTGGAGCAAAGGCCAATACCTCCAACGATGGTAAGATAGCTCCTTTCCTCTCCTTCTTCTTTCCTTCGCCACCAAATGGAATCGTGCCATTCATTTTTTTCTCAAATACCCGAAATTACCGGGACCAATACCCAGTGCAAGGAAAATGAGTGAGAGCGATATACATGAAGCCAAATTGTAATATCACGTTGAAGACCAGAAAGTCATGTACGAAACAGAAAGCACAATGCACCGAGATACAGGCCAAATAAGAGCAATACGATGAACTCAAATATCAATGTTGGCACTCTCTCGCCACACCAACATAGTATCCAATGTCGCCCTTCTTTATTGGTGCTCAGCGCCCAGCCTATCCTACTCAGCACCTAAACTAGCCTACAGCTACGACATGCAACAGGATCACTTCAAGCTGAAGACCAATATATGTGACGACGTCGCCAATGCAGACTGTCAGCATACACCACGTACGTGTCTCTTCTCCCCCGACCTCACCTTCTTCTCACCCACTCTGAGTAAGCGATCCAACGGGGGTGCTGGAGTTAAATGACCAATGAAAGCCGTTAATTCCCCCAGACCCCCATTGAATTCCCGTTGAATAAAAAACTGGGGCCCTCCCACCGTTTCTTTTCCAACGGACAAGGTTCATGGGGGCTGGGGTACGTGGCCCAGCACCCCCGTGCGATAAAATAAAAATAAAAATCAGCCCAACCCCCCTCCCCCCCCACCCCCAAATACCGCCCTCCAACCCCCCCCGCACTCGTGTGTGTGTGTGTGTGTGTGTGTGTGTGTGTGTGTGTGTGTGTGTGTGTGTGTGCGGG